TCCAAATTGGTATATGGACACAGGCGCCACTCACCACATCGCCTCGGACCCAGGTACTCTTTCTCATGTTCGTACTCATTCATTAAATTCTTCATCATATATCACTGTAGGTAATGGTTCTAAAGTCCGCACTACAGCTATTGGTAACTATAAATTCCCCACATCCCCTCCCTTTAACTTACAAAATATTCTTGTCTCCCCCCATATTATCCACAACCTTATTTCTGTTCGCCAGCTCACCCGTGACAATAATTGCTCTATTGAATTTGACTTCACTGGTTTTTCTGTGAAGGATATGCTGACGGGAACCGTGATTCATCGGTCCAATAATGCTGGCCCTCTCTACCCCATGAGCCAATCCACCGCCCAAGCCCAAGCCCAAGTCAACGTTGTCACCGGTAGCTCGGAGCTCTGGCACCGTCGTCTTGGTCACCCTAGCCTTGCCGTCCTTCGTGTGGAGTCCCTAGTCTTTCATCCATGTCTTTTAAACATTTACGTCACTCTCTTTGTCATGCTTGTCAGTTGGGGAAACATGTTCGTCTTCCCTTTGAGTCATCGAGTCGTATTTCTACTTTTCCCTTTCAGCTTTTACATACTGATTTATGGCAATCGCTTGTTACTAGTGTTACTGGGTTTAAACATTATATGGTACTCTTGGATGATTATTCTCATTTTTTGTGGGTGTTTCTTCTTAAACATAAAACTGATGCATGTTCTCATCTTCACACATTTATTGCCTTTGTGAAGAATCAATTTAATACTACCATTAAGGTTGTTTAGTGTGATAATGGAACCGAATACAGGAACACGCCCCTTCCTAACATTTTTGAATCCTTGGGTATACTCTTCCGCTTCTTCAGTCCACACACTAGCCAACAAAATGGTCGTGCTGAACGGACCATCCGCACCATAAATAACACTGTGCGATCTCTTCTTTTTCAGACCCAACTCCCACCCACTTTCTGGGTTGAGGCTCTACACATGGCCTCACATCTTTTCAACCTCTTACCCACCACCACTCTCCAAAATCATACTCCACTTGAAGCCCTCTATGGTTCCAAACCCACCTACTCCCATCTTCGCGTCTTTGGTTGTCTCTGCTATCCTAATCTTTCCGCTACTGCCCCTCATAAACTCGCCCCTCGCTCTGCCCGATGTGTCTTCTTAGGGTACCCGTCCAACCAACGGGGATACCGATGCCTTGATCTTCTTGCCCACAAAATTATCATCTCTCGTCATGTAATTTTTGATGAAAACACCTACCCTTACTCTCACCCCGTCACCCCTACCGAATTCAATTTTCTTGATTCCACGGAGGACGGCACAACCCACCACACCCCATTTGGATACCCAAACCCCACCCAACCATCACCCTCGGCGCAGAT